TAGTCAACCTTTTTGCTGACACAGAAGCAAACCTTCCTACCGGTTGGGACACAAAAAAAGACAGAAATTCTAAGGTGATTAAATATTAATTTATTTTTATACGTACTCTTTAACTAACATTTACTAATCATACATCTGTTTCTGAACCATTCTGTTATTTTTGTATCGTAACTCGAAATTTTTTCTTTCACTACATGCAGCAATTTTTTATCGACCATAATAATAGGAAGACTACTTACATGGATCCACGTCTTCCTACAGACACTGTCAGCATTGCTGCTAGATTTTTGGAGTCAATGACTGTGCGTGAGATAATCGAGATGAACGATTTATCACTAAAATATTTAGTTTATTTCTTTTTTCAATGTTTATTATACTTTTTGTTGGCATGGTTTATTCCGATATACTTAAATAGCAAATGAATATGATTTACTAATGCAATCTTTAATTACGCATGCGCTTAGAACCGATATATCCTTAGTTGATATGAATAATGTGGAAGAATCTTATCACCTTTTACATATTTTAAAAATATTTTGACATATGATTAAATAAACTCCACTTGTTAATGTGAAAAAAATTTGAATTAGTCTGCTTTTTATACCAAATGAAAATTCAATGTAGTATTTCAAAGCATTTTCATTTTTAAGATATTTCGAGAAAAATGTTTTACGAAATGAAACGCTTATACACACATTTTTATATATATAATTTGTAAATGTCTCAAGAATAGGAATGTGAAATACAAGCATACAATTAAAGCACTTCCTATATACAGATCATTTGCCCTCATTCACTTTTCAAATTGTCAAAGTTAAAATAAGTACGTGCTTTATCTCGTGATTCAAATTGATGATAAATTAAATGTTTATTATTTTTTTATATAAATTATCAGAAACAATTATAAGGTCAGAAGTTATTATTAGATGAAATACAGTTTAAATACTAACACTAATTCAGACTGAAATTACTCATTTAGGCTTAAAGTGATTTTTGACATCTGGTTTATTTATTCCTTACAATTAAGTTGCTTTTTTGCATGAAATTAATAATGAGTGTTTACTATTAAATTAGAGTCTTGTAACTGCTAAACCTGTCAAAATTGATTTCAATTTTTTATTTGCAGGCTCCGATTCCGCCTCCTAGGCCTACGCCACCTGGAAGTTCTCCATGTAATTCTGTCGAAATTCCAGTAGCTTACAACGATAAAGTGGTTGCCTTTTTAAGGCAGCCTAATATTTTCGATATTTTAAAAGAACGTCACCCACCCATCGGTACATCGACATCGCTCAGGGAAAAAGTGAATGCCATCCGAGTCGATGGAACATCTGCCCTTGATCGACTTAGTCAAGATTTGAACCTCACAATTCTTCTAAGGTAAGAACATTACTTTTTTACAACTTTGTTTCTTATAACACGAATTCTAATCAAATAATGACTTTAGCGCAATTTGTTATAAAGACCAAATTTGTCTAATCGTAAAATTTCATGATTTTTATTTGTCTATTACAAATAGCCTAATATAGTTTTAGGATACTGTAATTCGTATCCTCAAACATACATATTGTTAGCAATATCATATATTTTTCATTCACTTAACGATAAGTCCACCTTGAATTAATTAGACAGGTTCTTTCAAAAAATTTATCTATTACTGTATATGTATATTCAAATAAGAACAAAATTTTTTTGAATTACCTTTACGGTTTTTTTTGGTAAATTCTCTACCCCACTACCAATTCTGACTTAGCTTGGTATACGATCCTGAGACCGACTTATATTGTTGTCAGTGGTTAATTTTTTTAGGTACTAGATGACTGTGTCACTTCAAAAAAATGATCACGTTCATCTGAGTGAAAGTAGCAATNTCGTAGGGTTCAGCCAGCGTTTGCAATGTAAGCGCAAAAAAATGTGTTTATTTACGACATCACATTACAAACCTGTAAAATTATTAGTGTTTCTCTACTATATTATGCATGTATTATACATATAAACCTTCCTCTTGAATTTCTCCATCTATTAATGAAAACCGCATTAAAATCCGTTGCGAAGTTTTAAAGATCTAAGCATACACAGGGATAGACAGCGGGGGAAATGCGTTGCATGATTTCGTTACATAGCAACTCGCATGAAACAAACTTACCTTACCGTGCGTAAAAAAGTTTCACTTCAAAAATTGATAATTTTATTTAGGCAGATTATTAATATTAGTGACTCATCGTCTAGAAGGCTTATGTAGTTCCATTTATGTAACGCTTAGCTTCACAAAATTCATGTAATTTGATTGAGTGCGAGGTTTCCAAAACTCGCGAAAGTTCCGAATGTTTGTTATGTTGAAAACAGTAGTAGCTATTCTACACATATTAATGGTGAGTTCAGAATATATGACGGAAACGGGGCAAAGGGTAATAGACTATATTTAATTTACAACAATTGTTGGCCGTTTTGTTGGATACTATGCTTCAAATTCACTGACATTTAAATATATGTTGCCAATATGGACAAAATTTAAGTAAAAATTGTACGTGTTACCTGCGACGCGCGATTTTACCCTTTAATTGAAAGTGCGATTGTCTATATATACATTATAATACTGAAATGTAACGTTATACTATTATTCATAATAATTTATATTGTTTCGACAAAATATTATGGATAAATCATGGTTCATACAGATGTAATTTTAATTTCATAGTTCCACAAATTGATTATTGATATTTGTTTAGCAAACTGAGTACCCATATTGCTTTCTGAAAAACAATACATGTGCTGCCATCTATTGCCAGGCAAGTACGTATATCACTGTGTAACAAAAAGTTATATTTTGAAGTATTCTGCTTAGATGGCGCTAATATTAAATAATTTATAAAAACATCACTGTTTTTGTTAACACTCGATTTTACTACGCATCAAATTTTCTCACCAGGGTTTTAAAATGAAATCGATTTTTAAGGAGTAAAATTCGAAAAGATCTGAAATAAAGAGGTTACGCTAATTTCTC